CTGTGAGGGTTCTGCGAGTGGGAAGTGATTCGACGGCACCTCACATCCAGCTCCCGGTATCCTAGCCGCACTGGCAGAAGGGAGTGAATATGCCGCACTGGCAGAAGGGAGTCGAGGTGTGTGGTGGGGGATGGGGGCTCTGTGCTTGGGCAGGCGATGCATCTCCCTGTGGAGGCCCAGACCCCAGAGACATGTGAGAGGATAAGCTAGCAAAACGAGGTGGCCGGAACACCCTTCCTTCCACCTTCGACCTTGTGGCTCCAGTGGGGGGAGGCCCCCTCCTCAGGCCAGCTAGTGGCCACAGCGCTCCCAAGCTGAAAGGAGATGGGAGTGGGGTGGTGGGGGATGGGGTGGGGGTGCCCTTGCGTGCAAAGGCTAAGCCAGCTCCGCTGAGCAGGTAGGGCCAGGTACCCTGTGGGGAGCGCCCAGCCTCTTCCCACCTGCAGGCTCATCAAATACCTCGCCAGGGGCCGCCCCGAGTGGGAACCCGGTGATGTCAGGGCCTGGCCTGAACAATCAGCCCTTTCAGGGCAGGGCGCTCACCATCAAAGGCGTCTGGGAGGGCCTGCCGGCGCAAGCTCACACATGCCCCCGGCGGGCGGGCAGGCAGGCAGGCGGCGCAGGGGAAGAGCTGAGGCCTTGTCGAGAGTGTGTCCTTCAGCTCCCAAAGTCAACCGGCCAGAACGTACCTACCTGGAGAGCAAGGCCAAGGCTACAGAGAAGCCCCCCACCCCCCCATGCTGCCCACTACCCCACCAGCTCACCTCTCCTCCAGCCCCAGAACGGAGGGGCTGAGCAGACACCATTGGATGGGGTTCGAGCATGGGTGTCCCACTGCACAACTCCAGGGGGCGCCGCTCAGAGAGGACGCAATGTGAAGCATGTGATGAAGCTGCAGAGTCATGGCTGCCCTCAGACCAGAGAAGCCCTGGCCTGGCGCTCCCCGGACGCCAGCGCCCAGCTCAGCCCCCCTACTCCATCCTTGTGTAGCCAAGATTCCTGGAAGAGTCGGTCCAGCCGTGCTGGAGGGTCTCACAGAAGCAGGAGGAGATTGTTCTGAGCAGCTTGCCTGTGGGAATTTGCTAAGAAGCTGGCTCCCCTCTCCTGCTGTGTCCTGGGCAGTGGTTCGCAGGTCCCACGGGGATGGCAGCCTCAGGGGACACTGGCCATGTCTGGGGAACGCATGGGTTGTTGTGCCTTGGGGAAGAGGTGCTGCTGCCGTGCAGTAGGCCGAGGCCAGAGATGCTGCTGGACTTACTGCCATGGTTCGTGCTACTCCAATGACCCAAAGTAGTCTTGCCCCCAGGGAGTGCCAAAGTTGAGAAACGCTTTCTTAGATCCAACGTCCCAACTCCTTCAGACCCTGAAGCCTCAGGTCCCGTTTGCTCCGTGCAGGGGGCCCCTCCTGGTCTACCAAAGAGCGCCAGCGCCTGGACAGCTGCAGGAGCGCAGTGCACCACCTGCTCCCCCGCAGCCGGGTTGGCCAGGAGTCTGCCCGATGTTACCACAAAAGCAGGGCAAAGCATGTTGACAACAGAGGCAGGGCCAGAAGAACGAGTCAGTCTGTCTGGGAGGAAACACAGCCAGAATGCGCCTGAGAAGCAAGGATGGTGTGGCGGCCCCCCCACTGCCCACCACCCCACTGGGGCCCCTCTCCTCCAGCCCCAGAATCGAGGGCCTGAGCAGCCACCGATGGTTGCACAGGACCATCCCACTGCACAACTCCAGGGGATGCCACCTGGCCGGCCGTGGCATGGGTCTGATGGGGACCCACACAGAGGAGGTAAAGCATGAGCACAGCGATGACGAGCCCCAGGTGGGCCACCTCTCTCCCTGGGCTCTGTTGCCCCCCTGTCAAATGGGGGTGGTGATGGAAGAAGAAGCTCCGAAGGTAGTTGAGGGACGAAGCGTGTCGGTGACCCTCACTCTTTACAGCCTAGCCTGGCACTTTCTGGCGCGTAACACGTGGCAGCTGGGACATACCATCTTTAGCCTTAGGAACCCGGCCTCTCCGGAAGGGGTGGGAGCAGAAGGCGAGCTGGTTTCAGCTACAGGCTTATGTGCCGCCAGGATCTGGGATCCGTGAGGCTCCAGCAGGGCTCTACACTGCTTCTTACACTCCAGACTCCAGTCACTGGTTTGAGTGGAGACCACTAAGCAGTCAAAGGATGTTGGGGAACCCCGCCGAGCCCCTTTGTGGCATTTACCCTGAAGTTGTGGGGAGACCTCTGGGGTGGAATCCCCCTCCTCTGGACTTTGGGAGGACCCCTGGGGTTGGGCTGGGAGGGGTCGGCACTCTGGTTTCCCCTGAAAGTCTGCCCGACCAGCTGGCTCTGACCAGTGTCCTTCTGTAGAGGGGGTCTACTAGATGTTCCAAAGGAGAAAGATGAGGCTAGGTGCCCCACGAAGGTTCACAATCGCACAGTGCCTGTGGGGCAGTGCCACTCTGCCTTAGACCTTGGCGTCGACTGGAAGGAGGTGGGTGGGTTTGTTTTTGGGTAACAGGACTTTTCTGATAAGTGTGTAACAGCTGTGTGACAAAGTCAGAGGTGGGTAGAGAGTGACCAGCGTGGACACAGGCAGGAAGCGAGCACCTATTGTTGGAAAAATGGACATTGGCCTTGCTTGATGCAGGGTTGCCCCAACCCTTCAGTTTGGAAAAGCTAAACAAAAATCCAACAAATGGGAATATCGCGCTGTAATAATTAAATTTTCTACTTTCTCTCTGGGTTCTAATGCCCATTGCAATGGCTATGCAGAACTCCCAGGGGGGTAAATCATAATTAAAGGGTTTATCAATGAAGTGAACAAGTTGTAATGCCAGTGAGAAATGCCCAGGGCTGTTTATCAGGACAGGTTACCAATTCTGTCAAGTCTGCTAATGAATACCCAAAGGGCACACCACCCCGCCGTACACCTCCACTGGAAGGCATCTCCCTGGGTCAACAGTGCTCCCTGAGTGAAGTGCCGAGAGGCACCCCACTCTTGGAGCCAGCCTCCTGCTCACAAGCGCTCAGCTTTATTTGCTCTGTGGGTTGGGAAGGCCATCACTCTGTTCCACGCTCTGGCTCCTGGTTCTGCAGCTGCTCCTCTGACGTCACAGCTGTCTTCTGGATCCAGGAGGTCCACTGCACAGGAAACTCGGGTTCAGAGGACCGGCTCCACTCCTGGCTCTTGCTGGTCATGAGATCCCTCCTCCTGCTTTCAGAGGACTCATTTTATACCCAGCAGGATGGGGCTCCCTTTCACGAATACTCACAGGTAAATCCTATCAGGATCTGCCTCTACCTTCTCATAGGGCCCGTGCAGGCAAAGGTGTATATACATCCACATGCCCACATGCTTGCTTGCATGTGCATACACACACATCAGGGCCTCCCACCCCTGCAGCAAGCCTAGGCTCCTCAGTCTCCCAGACCCCTGGAGCAGCTAGATAGGTGCATCGGGTGTCGGCCATGCCAACCCTCCTGTGGGCCTCCCCAGCCCGACGTCCACTGCTCATTCTAGTGGTGTTCGAAGCAGCCCTCCCATGGCAGCTGGCACTGACAGGTATGTGTGTGATTCTGTGTGTGTGTGTGTGTGTGCACGCGCATCTCTGTGTGTGTAGGCATGTGCACATGCACACGCACACTCAGAGTAGAGCCACCGTTGCAGAGGGACGAGTAGAAAGGTGGCGAGGCCGCACCATGGCCCAGCCCTCACTGAGTCGTGGCGTCACCTGTGGTGCCCAGCGAGGCCGGCCTGGCAGGGCGCAGAGGGTGTGGCGCCTGCTAGGCTGGAGCGCCGCTTGCCAGGGGTGGAAGAATGGGGCTTCTGTGCTGCTTATCAGGACGGGGGCTGGCAGACAGGGTGTGGAAGAGGCTCCCAGGGCCCCCTGCTGTAGTAAGCACCGCGTCATGCAGGCGGGGGTGGGGGACTCCTCTGACCTCTGTGGGTCAGGTCAGACCTGGGCAAGCCATGGACCTTCACCAGGAGGCGGGCCCCTCTTGATCCTTGTCCTCGGCCTTACATGCTGGCCGAGGAAGGATGGTTAGGGACCGCCAGCATCCACCGCCACCAAACAACCGCTCTTTCCTGCAAATGAGCACCTCTAGCCAGATGTCCCTGTGTCAATAACGCCAGAGGGCGTCTCCGGGTGGCACAGACACCTGGAAGGTTGGCTGGTCAAGTCTACCCAGAGCTGCTCTGAAGAAAGGGCTGGTGATCCTCTTCTGAAAAAACAGCGTCGAAGCCCCGTAGCACCCACTTCTCGTGGGCCACACCGGGATCAACATGAATCAGTGGTCGACGCTCTGGCAGTCAGTTTAATATCTCCAAATCCTCATGCTCCCCCAGTAAGCCGGGAGAGGTGGGGGCGATCCTGGAGAGCAGGCATACCAAGTCTGGGAGGGCTTCAAGGGCATCTAGCGTTTAAGACGTTTTGTTGGTTCATTCACATGACACTCGTGGCCACCACAAGCAAAGCTGTTCTTGTAATGCATGTGTTTCCTGCACAAGGCTCATCCCAGCCTCAGACTGAGGACTGCTGGGACGCACTGCGGATAGAGGCAGCACATCTCCAGGCCTGGCCCCGGCCTGGGGCACGTGCTGAGGGCACACAGAGCCTTTACTGCTCCTGGCACGTCCACAGGAGACTATGCACATGCCCCGAGTGCTGGTTTGGGGAAGATAAATATCCCTTAGGGAACAGGCAAACATGTAAACATGGAATCCGTGGATAACGGAGATGGGCTGTAATTGGCACAAAGTGGTCCCAGTAGATGACAGATCTTGGGTGGGCCATACCTCCTGCCAGGCATTCTCTGCTGATGGGGTAGCACCGTGCTGATGGGGCGTGCCCGGGATCCAGGGCAGGAGGAAGGGGTGAGAGATCCCACCTGTCCTAACTTCTTCTTCCGTGCACGGTAAACTAGGAAGGATGCCCAGCCCTCGGGGTGGACACACATCCACCTGCACTTTACATCAACAAACAGCCTTCAGTGCCCCCTTCTGCCTTGCAGGAATTTAGCCCTTGGCATCGGGATCCAGAACTTCCCAGAGGGGCTCGCAGTCAGCCTGCCTTTGCGTGGGGCTGGCTTCTCCACCTGGAGGGCCTTCTGGTAAGTGCTCAGAGCCCCAGGGCTAGCGCTGAGTCCACAGTGCGGGCAAGTGGCTGGCGGGCAGGCGTGGGCTCCCAGCCAGTGACACCCTCGCCTCGCTCCCTAGGTACGGGCAGCTCAGTGGCATGGTGGAGCCCCTGGCTGGCCTCTTCGGAGCCTTTGCAGTGGTGCTCGCAGAGCCCATCCTGCCCTACGCCCTGGCCTTTGCCGCTGGCGCCATGGTCTACGTGGTCATGGACGACATCATCCCGGAAGCCCAGACTTGGTAGGCACACCCCACCCCCTGTGTCCCCACCTATCCCCCAGGTCTGCCCAGACTTCCTTTCCAGATCACGCCTGCCCCTCCCCCACTGAGCTCCCCCAAATAAGAGGAGCGACAAGAGACCATGCTAAATGAAGCAGCGGCCCCTGCCCACTCGCTCCCCACAAAATGCTTGCAAGTTTGCTTTCCACCACTAGATCACCAGGCCTTTCTTCCAATGCGCCTCTGGGTAGACTTGAATCGTCAGCCTGACTATTAGCCCCAAGTCCCTTAACTGTTTGCTAGCATAGTGGCCTATGCATTGCACTGCTAACCACAAGGTAAGCAGTTCGAAACCACCAACTGTTCCTCTAGAGAAAGATGAGGCTTTCTACTCTGACAGTTACATTCTCAGAAGCCCACAGGGGCAGTTCTGTTCTGCCCTTTGGGTTGCTATGAGTTGGAATCAGCTCGATGCCAGTTTTCAAGAGAGAGAGCAGGTTGCTCTGCTTGGGCTTGAAGTATATATATAAACTGTAGGATGATTTTGAGGCTAATTTGCAAGGTCTAAGGAGTCCTGATGGTATAGTGGGTTGCACATTGGGCTGCTCACTGCAAGGTCAGCAGTTCAAAGCTACCATCCACTCCAAAGGAGAAAGATGAGGTTTCTGTTCCCATAAGGGGTTAGAGTCTCAGGAACCCTCACGACAGCCGTGAGTCGGAATCGGCTTGATGGCAGCGAATGAGTTTGGTTTTGCTTCGGTTGCAAGGTCTGGGTAAGTGGTACCTTCCAGAAATCAGAGCCACGACTCCCAGTGGATTCCAAAGCCTGGCCAGGTGACTTTGGGCAAGGTGCATACTTCTTTGTGACCTCTGAGAGGGGCGTCAGGAGCCCTGGTGGTGGCAACAGTTAAGCACTTGGGTGCTAACGGAAAGGCCGGTGGTTTGAATCCACCCAGTGGCCCCCTGTGGGAGACCTGGTGATCTGTCCCCGCAGCCTGCAGCCTGGGCCACACTGTCTGCTGAGTGGGACTTGCCCGCGATCAGTCCCATGAGGGTGGGATTGTGGCGGATTCCATCAGTTCATCGGCACACAGCCCCACTAAACCCCGTGCCATCAAGCCGAGTCCAGCTCCTGGAGGCCCTGGGGGATGGAGTCGTACTGCTCCCATGGGTGCAGACTCCCATCCACTTCTCCCACAGAGCTGCTGGCTTCCCACGGGCTGGCCGTTGGGTCAGTAGCCGAGTGCCTGACCCACTGTGCTCCCAGGGCTCCCTCCGCTCCAGTGCTGTGGGTTGTCAAGGTTCCCGTCATGTTATTAGGCCCAGGATCCCAGGGCCAGGTCGAGGACACGCTGTTGCCTGGACACAGCCACAAACTGCACTGAGGTCGATCTTCATTTCTCTCCCTCTCCCCCCGCCCACCCCACCCCCCAGTGGGAATGGGAAGCTGGCGTCCTGGGCCTCCATCCTGGGCTTCGTGGTGATGATGTCCTTGGACGTCGGCCTGGGCTAGCCCTGCAGCAACACCTCAGACTCCAGGAGAGGCAGTGCTTGGAGCAGCAGCAGCGATTGGCTCCCGTGGAACCACAGTCCTCTCTCGTCCCATTAAAATGCTCCTTTCTCGCCTCGTCATCTTATGATCCTGACTGATCCGGACGGTGACGTGGCCCCCTCATGCTTTTCCGGTTTCATTTGGGGTTTTCGGGGTCTCATGGAATAATGGATCTTCGTGTGGGCCACTGGGATGGGTGGAATTCTGCCCCTCGCCCCGCCCTCCAAATCACATCCGAGTCTCTGCCAGGGGCTGTCATCCCGTTCGGGCCTGGGCTGCCTCTGCTCATGGGAAGGAAGCAAGAGATCAAACGGGGTGGGCTCAGAGGAGAGATAGGGGGTGGTAGGTGCCAAGGCAGGTGGAGAGCTCGAGGGACCATGAAGCTGGACTGAAGACACAAGGGCATTTCTTCTGAACTGTGAGAAACAAATCACCTGTCTGATAAAACCTGCTGCCTCCAGTCGCATGAGACACCTTAGATAGCGACCCTTCTTCAGTGGGGTCCTCGGGGGCGCTAGGATCCTGGGGATCCCTGCTTTCCTACCTTCTGTCTCTCCAGCCAGACTCAACAGCGACTCCTTGGGGGCTTTCAGTGGGAGCAAGCTGCCAAGAGAGGTCTCTGAAGCTCTTCCTGCCCAAGGACACAGAGCAGGACTGGCAGGACGCCTCCTGTCTGTCCCTCCTGCTGATCCTCGGTGCTTTAGACCGACTGGACCATCAGGGATGGAACAAAAGGCTTCCCAAGGCCCGGCCAAGCCAAGAAACCACATACTCTCCACTGCTTGCCCAGCCCTCTGGGTCCCGACAAAGTGGGGTTCTCACTCTCGAAGCAGGGATTGGTATGACTGAGCTAAAGGGAATTGGGACAAGTCGACACACAGCCAGGCTGTGGGTCAGAGCACCAACCTCAGCCCTCTTTGGGTGGGAACGGGGATCGCACAGCATCGTGGTCTGTGAAGGGTTCTGAATCCCCCAGGCATTTATTTGATCAAGGGTCTAACTGTCGCCTTCATTTCTGTAAGCGGCTTGGGGACACCAGTCAACCACCCTGACGCAAGCCCTTCTTGCCACCATGGCGGTAGCGACTTTTAACGGGAGACTTTGGGGTCTGCCTGGGTCTCCCCTCTGAGGAGGTAATTTGTCACCTGACCTGGGAACAGGTAAGCTGCGGGAGGCCTTTGCAGGTGTTTGGCCCGAGCCCTCAGGAAGGGGTTAGGAGAGAGAGAGATGAATCCGTTTCCCTCTTTCAAATACATCGTAGCCGAGTCAGCATCCTGAAATAGCCAGAGAGATCGATGCGGATGAGACCGCAAGCCAGCCTGCTCTCTGACACACTGGCTTTTGTCTGCTTTGAACACAGTGAAGGACTGAGAGGCCTGTAGCCCAGAGTTGGGTGTCTTGACGCTGCTTGTCCAACGCCTGCCCTCCATGTTTACATGCTCGGTGACGTCCAAGGATGAGCCTCCTGCTCTGTACATGCCCTCTGCCCTCTTGGATCTGTGACTGTTCCTCCCAAGCATTGACGATCAACTTGGACCCCGCGGCCGGGGCTTTGGTGGCCCACGAGTCACTCGGTCTGGAGGGTGGTGTGTCTGCGTGTGTTTCCTTTTTAATGTCTCTGTAGTTCTACATAATGCAAATGGACAAGACCTCATAACTGTGATTAATATCAATAAAGGAGCTATTGTTCTTTGTGACTAATATCAATAAAGGAGCTATTGTTGTGGACCAGCCGGGCTATGCCTCTCCTGCCCAGCGATGGTGACACAAGGGTGGGCCACCACCTCCGCTGCTCAGCCCCAGGAGCAGCAGAGGAAAGTGCAGTGAACTCAGCAAAACCCCGTGGCCAACAACTGCATCCAACCGGCAGCGGGGTGTCACGGAAGCTGCTAAGGAGCTCAACAGTGGGCTCGCACGTTGGGGGGCTCCGTTGTGAGAATGGCGCTTTGTGGGGTCACTGTGAATCAGGACCGACACAATGGCCCCAGCCAACACCAACACCAACATAAAGGAGCTCTTTGGAGCCGCAAGAGAATCCATCTGGGAAATGGGGTGGATGCAAGGAAGGAAGAGCCCTGGGCCACACCTCAAGAACAGCTCCGTTTGGGTATTTCTCCCCCACCCCCACTTGCTGGTCACTAGACAGGAGTACCACCACAGCAACCACTGCCCGTCAGTGCCGCCGCCACCTCGGATAAACTGTCACCTGACCTTGAGTCTTGATATGTTGACTCCCACCTTCCAAGTCCCTGGCAGTAATGCCTGCCTGGCAGAGCTTAATTTAAGGACTAGCTTGCTTATCTTGCTGCTTAACCAAGGCTCGTGCAACAGTGGAGGTGTTCCGGATGTAGGACGGAGTTCAGATGGTGGGTAGCACCCCCCCCAACCCCCTAAAACAAAGAACAGCAACAACAAAACAAAGTAGTTCATTATAGCCTCGCTCTTGTGCTGCTCAACATCTGATATATTCTAATTTCCCCCACTGCCATCGAGTCGATTCCAACTCACAGCAGCCCTAGGGGCCAGGGTGGAACTGCCCTGTGGGTTTCCGAGACGGTCACTCTTTAAGGGAGTCGAACGCCTCTTCTTTCTCCCATGGAGTGGCTGGTGGTTTTGAACTGCCGACTTTGTCATTAGCAGCCCAACTCATAGCCCCTACACCACCAGGGCTCCTAGTTTCCCTACTTACCATTAAGGGGAGGGGGGGAAGCTTAGATAAAGGAGACAGCCCTTATACAATCAAAATGTAACGCATTCTGTCCAAAGGGAGTCAGTCTCCCTTGTTTTGCCCATCCCTGCCCCTGCGGTCCGTCTCTGAGGGTGTCTCCCGCCCTCTCTGATTGAGCCCTAACTCCGTCTCCTTGTTACAGGGCATGGGGCTTAGAGTCCCCTGAACTACAGGGAGAGGAAAGGAAGAGCAACTGGCTAACATGGGAATGCCCTCTACTATTAGTCCCCATGGCCCCACTAACTGGGTGCCTTAAGCCTTAAGATCACAGCTTGGTGCCTTAAAACAGCCCCCACCTGTTCTCCCCATTCCCGGAGGTCCCAGGTCCTCCCGCTCCTCCCTCATATCCTCCTTCCAATTCTCTGCCCCGCCCCGCCTCCCCCACCCCCGTCCAGATTCCACTTTTCTCAGGAACCATAATAGAAATCCAACCAGTCGGCGGCATCATGTTTTGCTGTCAGCGTGCTAGTCTCTCCACGTCATGGGTGGAGGAGGCAGAGGATTTTAAAGGGTGGGCATGGACAGCGTTAAGCTTCAGTCTGCCCCTTGAACTATTTCGGGTTCCCAGTTTGCCAGCATCTCTCCTCTTGCCGTTGTTGAAGTTGCTTGGCCCTGCTAACCTGCCTCTTGCTCAGTCTCAGAGCCCTGACCTTCCTTTGATGGCAGAACAACCCCTTCCCTCGTCGCTTTGCCCACAACGCTCACTTCATTCTTGGCGATCCTGACTTAGAAACACCCACGAGCACCACCACCAAACCCACTGGCCTCCAGTCAGCCTAACTCAGACGAGAAGCGCACGGAACCGGACTGCCCCTGTGGATGTCTGCGACTCGTTACACGAGTGGGCAGCCTCATCTTTCTCCTGCAGAGTGGCTGGCGGGTCCAACCGCTCCCCTTGTAGTTAGCAGCCCAAGTGGTAACTACTAGGCACCCAGGGTACGTGTTAATTAGCCGCTTCACCACAGCCTGCCGGTAAGAAGCCAGACTGGTATCTCCAGCAACTCAGAGGCTCTGTAGGGAAATTCCCTTATCTTTTTCTTCCCTTTTTCCGTGATTTTTTTTACTCCCCTCCAATTGAACTTGGTGTTCTCTGTAACCTCAGTTAACTCAGATGCCAATTTCTGATCCTTCCATTTTCTGAAAGGTTTGTTAGCTGCCACCAACTCCCTTGCCCTGGCGGCATAGTGGGTTGCACTTTGTGCTGCTAACCACAGGTCAGCATTTCTTTTTCTTTTTTTTAAATCATTTTTTGGGGGGCTCATAATCTCTTATCACAATCCATCCATCCATCCCTTGTGTCAAGCACATTTGTACATATGTTGCCATCATTTTCAAAGCATTTTCTTTCTACTTGAGCCCTTGGTATCAGCTTACTTCCCCACCCTCTCCTTCCTTCATGAACCTTTGATAATTTATCATTTTTTTCCCATGTCTTACACTGCCTGATGTCTCCCTTCACCCATTTTCTGTTATCCATCCCCCTGGGAGGAGGTTATATGTAGATCATTGTGATTGGTTCCCCAGCCCCACCCCTTCCCCTCACCCTACTTTCATTATTGGTCCTGAGGGGGTTATAAGGTCAGAGGTTCTAACCCACCTGCTGCTCCACAGGAGAAAGTTGAAAATGGCTACTCCCCTGTCCAGTCTCGGAAACCCACGGAGGCAGTTCTAGCCGGTCCTGTAGGGTCGCTCTAAGTTAAAACTGACCCAGTGGCGGTGGGCTTTTTTGGAGTTACCAGTTCTCTGAACCAAACTTGTCAGGTCGAAGCCCTGAGACTATGGCCTGTGGTCCTCCTGCAGGCTGGGAATCGAGCCCCCACCCCACCCCCATGTTAGCGTAATCTAAATCAGAAGGGTGCCACTTACCCAAGGGATGGAAACGGAACACAGGGAGGAAGGCGGGTACGTGGTGGCACATTGAGGGTGTAGCGATGGATGTATCAAAACTAAACGTGGGTGAATTATTGAACGTGAACCTGACTTTGCCCCCATCCACCATTGAAAGCATGAAAAAAAACAACACTCTCTATCTGACAGGGCTTCTGGGTGCAGTGCTGGTTAACCAGCTGAAGAAGAATGGAATTTACTGGGAGGATATTTGAAATTCTTAGAAAACTGGCAGAAGTGCAGAAAAGCCAGGGTTGGGGAAAAGGCTGAGGCGCAGCTGGCCATGATCGGGGCCAAGGTCAAGACCTGGGGACAGTGTGGCTGAGCACCTCTCCCGCAGGCATGACTTGGCACCAGAGGCACCTCCACTGGGCACAGGCACCATGAGTGACTCACAGGAACCCTGAGTCTCCTGAGGTGCTGCCACACCGACACCACACGTAGGTGGCTTTGAAGAGCCGGTGGTATTGTGTCACAGTTCCTGAGGCTGCGGGTCGCAACCAAGTTTCTCAGCTGTGTCGATGTCTCCCTGGCAGGTCCTCCTAGGTTTTCAGACAGTCCTCACTGGGGATCTGTCTCGTGCGTGCGTGTGTGCGTGTGTGTGCACGTGTGCGTGTGCGTATGCGTGTGTGTGTGCGTACCGATCAGATCTAGTCTACTCTTTTTATATCTCCAAAGTGATTAGGTGTGGAGCCCACCCCACTAGTGGGCATCACAAAGAAACGTTTGCTTCCAACCAAGAAAACACCCACAGGAAGAGGGGTCAGGATTCCGGCACATCTGTTTGGGGAGGCCGCAGATCAGTTCCTCTCCAACACTAGGCTCCATTACTAGCATGTCTCCTTGACTTTGAATCACCTGGTCCACGCTGAGAATCCTGGGCAGAGGCATGTGATTGGCAGCTTCCCCCCTGTACACCCACATCATTGCTTCCAGGGGAGAACGTGGGGGTCTTGATCTACCTCCAAACCAAGCACACAGATAGCAGTCTCCACACACAGGGAAAGGGTTCATTCAGATCAGGCAGATAAACAAGGCCCACGTTAGAGAGCACCCACCCCACCCCAAACACACCATCTTATCCAACAGCTCCTCTTTGTGCATTCTTATCAAGCCTCAGCCACCTGGCCCAAACACACCCAAAGGCCAAGTTCAGTTCTTTTCCTTGGGCCCATGTGAGAAGCCATTGTATCACATCTCACCCGCTCCAGAATAAAGCCCTCCTTTTCCTGGAGCGCTATGAGACAGAGTCTGCTCAATGGCAGGGAATGGGGTTATCCAAGAACCTAGAGGCTTTGAGCCTGCCCGGACAGTTAAACAGAATTCAGTCATTGTGTCTATGGGAGGGCGAGGTCCTTTGGAGAAATATGGAAAAATCCAAGCCACTTGCCTTCATCCAATGGGCGTCTCAGGTGTTCAGAAGTGGGGAGAGCGATTGCCCAAGACGAAGGAACAAAGGAAGCATTTGAGACCAAAAGAATGAGTAGCTGGAGAAGGAGTCCAGAGACCGTCGCCTCAGTACCAATGGGCTACTTACTTAAACGGGAGAAAGATGAGGGAACAGACATCGGGGTAAAGAGCCTGCCCATGAGAACAGCTGGGGCTCCCCGGGTTGGACCCGATTGGGGTTTGGACCCAGACTGGGAGCGCTTTGTGGAGACGGCTGCTCCAATCGCTCACTCGTTTCTGCCCTTTCTCCCTGTCCCACCACAGTGCTTGCAGAATGTGTGCCCGAGCTTTCCAGACAGCCTTAGCCCCTCTGTGATGGAGCATCAGTGACTCTTACCTAGAGCTTTGTGTCAGCCACCCAGGAGCTCCTAAAAATGACCCATGCTCGAGCCCAGCTCCTTGAGGCTGACTTAATAAAAAAAAAAAGCACCATGTGCACCCCCCTCCCCCACACCCCAAAACAAAAAAACAACAACAACTGCCATCGAGTTATTTCCAGTTCATAGCAACACAATAGGAGAGGGTCGAACTGCCCCAGTAGATTCCAAGACTGTAACTCTTTTTTTTATCATTTTATTAGGGGCTGATACAACTCATAACAATCCATACATACATCAATTATGTAAAGCCCAT